TAAGCGGTAAAAGTCGGGGTTAAAATTGTGCTTTACCTTCATAAAGATCTCAACCGCGCCTTTAGCAATGTCCAGATACGTCGTACCCAAATAAGTGCGCTGATTCATAGAAGCGGACGTGTCTATCAGGAAAAGTAAAATAGGCATTTTGAGATGTGTAGATATATAGCTAGATGGTTACTAAAATACCTAGGATCGGCATATGACCGGCCTGGGCATGCATATATGTGTGTTATATTTTTTTGTTATAATCGGACCCCCCCCTCCCCTCAAAAGAGGGTCGTACTGCCACCCTTGGCCGCCGCCGCCTGCTTGCCTCTCTCTAGCTGTCTTTTCTGAGCTCTGCTGGCGCTCCCGCTGCTGGAACTTCTCTTCCGAACGGAGCGAAACGCCTTCGCCCCGCCCCCTCCGCGCCATTGGCCGAGCCTGCCCAGGCTGGACACGCCCACCCAAGCGCATGAATATGCAATAAGGCCGCCGCGCGCTACTCGCCCGCCCCGGACTCTCCTCAGGTCTCGGCGTGAACGGGCCGGGCAGTTCGGGATTAAAAGCGCTCGTTCTCGCACTACGACGCTGCTCGGACACGCTTTAGTTCATGTTTGTCACACATGCGCGTGTTTGGGTCGTTTCGTAGGTGATTTATGAGTGCGCTTCTGATAAGTATTTTTTTAGATCGTAACAACGACCCCTCCTCCTTCTCCTCCTTCTCCTCAGTACTTGTCTGGGTGTCTTGATGGGGGTGGGGAATTGGTTCTCTGTTCGATTTTTATAATTGAGCCTACCCCTCTGAACCTTTCCCTCCTCTTGTTTATCTCCTCAACGCGATCATAGCAAAGCGCCATGTTCACGTAACGAACAGCAGCGTATGATCGCCTTAAGAGGTGGGAAAACGCGCTACTGCTTCAAGGCTCGTCTCGAATACTATGGGGCTCGTGCGCGCACATGCCCTTAGGTTCTGTGAATGTCACAAAGAGACGGTGAGGGGGCCAAGCACATTTCTGCAACACTGAAATAATGCGGTCTCATACAGCTTCCATGTGTATTTACATGAGGCATAAGAATTTTATGGCAAGTTTGGCTTCTTAGCAGATTAGTTCCTATGGGTGTTATTGACACGGTAGCCTGTGTTATTTAAAGCCCCAACAGTACTAATATCTGCTTTATGAGCTGTCATGTATACTCTGGGTAACGTTTAAACTTTTTTCTGGCCTAGGATTGTTCCTCAAAACATTCACTTAGTTTACAAAAACCCCACCCTTGGCCAGGCCACACGTGGGCGAAAATGTCAACTGAGTCTTTGTGTTTAACTTTGAACTTTGTTTAAATTTTAAATTCAAACTAAACCAATCATCACCACCAAAGTTATCCCATGTGCCCATTCACCCACTAAAACAGTGCACAATAAGTTAATGTTTCAGTAGTTACACACTCTGTATGTGCTTATACGTATTATTGTATATATTACTGTCTCACTCTTGAATAACTCTAAATGTAAAACGAATGTGATGCACTAGTATGTGTCCAGAAGTTTGTAGACACCTGTTCATTTTTCCTCCAAAATCATGGGGAGTTCATCACCCGTCCTCCCACACACACACACACTCACCAGCTTCTGCTATTCTGGGAAGGCTTTCGTTGCTGTGAGGGTTAGATTGCATTCAGCCTGAAGAGCATTAGTGAGGTCAGGTATTTATGTTGGATGATTAGTTCTGAATCACTCCAGCTCAATCCCAAAGGTACTGGATGGAGTGCTATCACTCCAGAGAACACAGTTTTACTACTTCGCAGTGCAATGCTGGAGAGTTTATACCTCTCTAGCTGACGTTGGCATTGGTCATGGTGATCTTAGGCTTATGTGCGGCTGCTCCAGGTCTTATTCTGTTGGTCAGTGCTTTTCTATGAACATTATACAAGCTGTGTGTGCGGAATTGAACACCGGTGTCAGCAATGTAAACACCTTAAAGTAGCTGTTGACAAAACAATAGTAAGATTACGCCACATTAATGATAACACAGGTTAACATAAACCCAACAACCAATGCAACACTTCCTTATAAAGCATGCATCCACTCTTGACAAGCAATATTTACCCAGTAAAGCTAACATAAAATTGGCCAGCTGAGAGATGTACATAAAGACAGGAAAAAGCAGCAAACTTTAAAACCCAAACCATCAAGTATCCCAGCTATAATGTGTGTAAAATGTATAATGTTTGCAGATCACTGCCAACAAGGATGTTTCAACTTTTACCTTTAACTCAGGTGACATTTTATATTTGGCATTGGAAATGGGCATATTTTTATTTCTGCTCTGCTGCTACTAAAGATACATGTTTTTCTTTGGACAGTGATTAAATTTATGTATAAATGGAAACGTATATAAAAAATATACTGTCTTTGAAAGAAACACCATCAATGCTTGTTTATTAACCAGTTTAAAATCCACATGGTATGTAAAGACATACTCTAAATAAGACTGACTTCTTTATAAACACATAAAAAAAGTTTTTTGCTAAAGTCTAAGGCTGATAAATCAATGAGATGAGCCAAGCAACATTTACCCAATAAAGAACCCAAACCATCAAGCATCCTAGCTATAGTGTACTGCCTCGGCAGGCATGAATTTTTTTTTCATTTATATCTTACCTCTGATGGCAGTTTGCAGATCACAGCCAATCTCAGAGTTACTAAACTCCTTTGGGAATGATGGCATGCATTTTGGGTCACATTACATACATGCCATTAACTGAAATCATGTAGCTACCCACTTTATAGTCAAATTTGCAAGATTTTGTTACTAGAATAAAGCAAATTGTTTGCTTAGTTCATAACATGGTAGTAGGATTATGGGAGCAGCAGTGGACCAAAGCAGGCCATGAGAGCCAAAATAATGCTGAGAATTTTGTAATTTGTAATTTGTAAATAAGTGAATTTTTAATGAAAAAAATTGACAGAAGAATTACATGAAAAAACTGCCAACCAGTAACAGCACGGAACAACGTAAATAAAATAACAACAGCAGAGTTTTTTTGCTACGTTGTATACATATGTGTATTCTAAATGTATTCTTAATATGTTATTTTTTATGTATTGTAACAGAATACATCACTGAATACATTTAGGACAGTGTGTTCAGTACTCAGACGTCACAATTTTTTTTTTACAAAATATTCTTCCCAACCTTGTAAATATCCTAGCACTTTGTTCATGACACCAATAAAATAAAAATCTAAACAGTTTTATTATGAGACACATTATCTTTGTGGAGGGAAGTGACCTCTTGTTTTTGAAGTCTGCCTGAGTGATATGTTGACTCTATTTAGCGTGGAAGGGAATTGCCATCAAAAGAGGAAGTAGTACTGTACATTTTTATATTTCCTTCTGTTTAACTGTGTATTCTTGTCTCTCTGTGTATTTGTGACCATTTATTAAGATGCTACTAATCGTTAGTGCAGGGTAGTTGACTCCTTCGAAGGGAATTCCACCAATTTTTCAAAACCTCTGCATACTTTAATTCTCAAGATGTAACAAAGTGGTTTGGTCTGAAATACTTAATTATGGAGAAACTTACTGACTTATTACTTTACAGTGGTGGTAGGAACCAAAAGTTGCAGTGTTCACAGTGCAAATATAAGGATTTTATTTACGATCCAAAACCACCAGTGAACCTACATTAGTCTTTCTAGTATTTTAAAGTAAAATGATGAAAAAAGAGCTAAATCTGGAGAACACAAGTTTTATTGGGGACTATTTTGCCTCACAATGCCATGTGTGTATCGTTCTGCCATTAATGTATTTTAAGAAAAAAAAATTAAGCCAAAAGACTGTCACAAAGCTATCAAAAAACAATATCTAAGACATCACCCTGCTGGGAAAAAAAACAGCACAGACCAGCAAATATTTCATGCTGATCACATGCCACAGCATTGTCATGCTTGTTGACCAGCATACCAGTATCAAAACACAATATATGCTGGTTTTGATGCTGACCAGCATATCAGTTTCCATTGCTGCTATCCAGCATACCAGCATCCAAAACACAACATACGCTGGTTTTGCTGGTGACCAGTCTAAGCTGGTTTTTCTAGCAGGGCAGTAGTGTATACATAACCATTTCTTGTAATACATTTCTTTGAGGGAGCTTTTAGAGCAGAGGTGCCCAGTCCTGGTCCTGGAGATCTACCACTCTGGAGAGTTCAGATCCAACACACCTGGCTGTAATACACAGATGCCCCTGAAGGCCTTTATTACCTGGATCAGGTGTGTTTGATAAGGCCTGGAGCTAACTGTGCAGGGTGGTAGATCTCCAGGACCAGGACTGGGCACCCCTGTTTTAGATGCAGTGAACTCTTCAGACATCTGGTTCCTACCAGAACTGTTGTGAACATTTCTGACTTGTCAAGTTTCTCCACAGCAAAGAATTTCACACCAACCCACTCTGGATGACTCTGTTTACATCTCAACGATTGACTTATGCAGAGGTTTTGAAAAATCGGTGAAATTCCCGTTTAATGCATTAGTTTACGCCCTCTTTTTACTGTAGGTCTAAAAATGAGACTTGCCTTATTAGTCTTATGTACAGCAGTAAGTCTTGTAGCGTTGCGTTTAGTCAGGCTACCTGATGGCAAACTACACGTTGCCACACCAAAGTTCGGTGTAATACACTTGTTAATCGTACTTTGGATGTTTTACAGCCCGAGTAAACGGTGGTAAACAGTGTGAAGTAAAGTAGTGCATGTTCACTCTCGCTGAACCCTGGGCCATTACGTCATCGCCTGACTCCGGCGGAGTCCTCCAGTATCCCAGCATTCCCCGAGCGCCCTGCAGCGTATTGACAAAGAAAAAAGGAAAAACAGGGTGGGATTTGCACAAAACATCGCTTCAAAGATCGCAGTCGAGAGGAAGGTAAACTTTTACTCTTGCTGATTTACGGTGTGAATAAGGAGACTACGCAGTGGCTCGGACTGTTAGAGCTGTGTTTGTCCGGGAAGATCAAGTGAGCGGTGTTTTGCCATCATCATCATTATCATTTAATCATCCAGCTGGCCGGGAACAGCTGACAAATCCAACAACGGACATGATCTGAAATCATTTGTTTCAGGGTCTAAAGAGAATAACGTCGCTTGTCTTTATACTAAGAGGCCAAAGTGAAGAAATGGCTGTTACACAGCTGGCTAACGTTAGCCAAGAAGTGTCCATGTAGCCCATGTAGTCACTGCGTTAACGTTAGCTAGCTGTCTGACTGACATGGTCAGGTAACGTTACCTAGAATTAAGTGGCCTCTAATACCCATTTTCCTGTAACAGATGTTTGATAAAAGGCCAAATAACAGCGTGTCAAAGACCCCCGGAAACGAGCCAAACTGGAGTTCATGGTGCCATCTCGTAGATAATTCCAGCAGGACCATTTGTCCAGGGAGTATTTCAGAGGTTAGACAGATAAATGAAGTCAAAAGTCTGTCCGAAAGGAAGTGATTAGGGATATTCCTCCTCGGCTTTTTTCACTCTTATGTTATCCATCGTATCGAGAAATCCTGCTTTGACAAAACCCAGAACCAATGTCTGCGTAAGTAAGTTAGATAACGATTTCTGACTCTTTCTGGCAAAGTTCAATACATTGTTGGTTCACAATAACTGGACTCGTTTGGGTCATGAACTATGTTAGCTAAGCCTCCTTTGTGGCTGGTAGACTTGGTAGTTTGGCTTAGTATGAGCATTTGTGGTGTATCTACATAATAATCTACTGTCTATTAGGTGTAATATTGAAACTACACCTCTAACATGTAATTTTGTACACTATTGTCTTGTTAAAGCGAATCTGGAAAGTCTTGCGAAACATCCCCGCGATGAGCGTTTCAGTAAACACGGTCACGTGACCCAGCCACATGGCGCTGCCACAGCGCTCAATTACCTTTTATTGTCTATCTTATTGCTTGTCTGACATTTTAAAAATGTTTAGTCATTTTACAGATGTTTTCAGATTAAGGGCCAGATTTAATTTTGAAAAATGAATACTTTCAGCATATGTACAGGAAATGGTGAATAACAAAAATATTCACAAACGATTTTACAGTTATTTGATTCTTGAATTTTGTAATATTGAGTGTGGATTCATTTTTTTTAACAATAACTGTTAATGAAAGCGTTGCTAAATAAGACGTCTTACTAAATGTTAATATATTGCTATATATTAGTATTTAGCAATATTAATGTATTGCTAAATGTTAATATATTGCTACTACAATATAGTAGCAAAATATTAATATACTGCTACTATATTGTAGCACTCTGTGGGTCACAGTACTGTGGGTCACAGCACGGTTCTGTTAATAGGGAGCTGCGTAAACAATTCCTTTGTTTTTAAAGGCTGATCGTCATGCTGCATAGGAGCTGAGAGAGCAAGGCTGGCTGAAGTTTGAGGGAGCTTTTGCACCCTTGGAGCCCAGAGAGAGAGAGACAGAGTGGAATAAGCTAAAGGGAGGGCTAAATGCGCTCAGTGTGCGCCAATGCAGCAACAGAGCCGGCAGCCTGACCTAGTGGAAGGAAGACTTCCAGTGTTTGTGTTCCCTACCGAGCTGGTTTTCTATGCAGACGAGCAGGCCTCACACAAGCAGGTGCTCACGCTCTACAACCCATATGAATTTGCACTCAAGTTCAAAGGTGAGTGGTGGCTCGACAGGAGTCATTTGCTGTGCAAGCAATGCAACATACCTCAAATGGTGCATTTATGAATTTTTCAATTAATTTTGCTCTCTCAGTTCTGTGTACAGCGCCAAATAAGTATGCAGTAGTGGACGCCACCGGTGCCGTTAAGCCACAATGCTGCGTAGACATGTAAGCCACACTTCACTTCCAGAGAACTAGTTCTTCTTTAAAGGGGCATTCTGGCCTTAAACTAGCATTTAATAATATTTACATACATACATACATAATAATATTTAATATTACTTTATTTGTCACGTTATGTCTTATTTTGTAGTGCAGAATTGCTCAGCCTCATCAGTTTGGTAGAATTCTCTGTTTTGTTTTTATCTATCAGGGTTCTCTCACGACAGTACCCAGCATACATTACACAAATGCATCAACCAGTCATTGAGAATCGCTACAGCGCTCAACAAATCTGCACTCGTAGCCACTGATTGAGATGCTAATAAATGCATCTGTAGTGCTAGCTAGCGTTAGTGATATTGTACTAACCTCAATGGATCGTCAAATTTTTTTCTTTGTTAAAGCTACACCATATAAAATTTTGGGGATTTGGAGACCTCTCTGGTGGAAATGAGTAAGTGCGCAAAATACTTTGTAACGTCAGTTGTGCTTCGGACCCCTCCTGAGCAGATGAATCTGATGATTGAGAGTGCGTTAAGAGTATTCAAACGAACTCAGTCAAAACTTGTTGAAATATGTGTCTTCTGAGGATGTAAGTGAATTATCTGCTGTTGTCACTGTATTTTCATTGGTATAATGTTGATTTTGTATTTGAGAAACATTGGACCTTCTTTTTGGGCCTGTGCATGTGGCATTAATAAGCCTGACATCTCTGACTTGTAAATGCTTATTTCAGGCTTTACAGGGTGTTTTGCAGCGGTGCTCCATATTTTAGCATGTTTTTTCTTACGAGTAATGTTACTTATTTTGCTTTCAATAAAAAAAAAAATTACATGGTGCAGCTTTAAAGGAATTATTCAGCCAGCTGGTGAAAATAATTTCAAACAGCTTTGCCCCAGTTATCCACCCCAAAGCGCTTCCACTTTCAAATTTGCTTCCACCTTTAAGTTACATCATCAGAAAGGGGTTTTCCAAGACTAGAAACCAGAACATCTCGTTTTAGAGACTACTGTAGCACTGCAGATTTACTGATTCAGTAATGATTAATTTTTTTATTTAGGCCAGAGTGTCCCTTTAATTTTCTTAATAGAACAGTGTAGTGCACAAGTGTCCAATCTTATCCGCAGAGGGCCAGTGTGGCTGCAGGTTTTCACTCCAACAAAGCAGGAGGTCACCTGATGCAACATTTGAAGACTAAGACCAACTGATTAAACAAGTGGAATCAGGTGTGCTTCGGCTTGTTTTGAGTGAAAACCTGCAGCCACACTGGCCCTTTGCGGATAAGATTGGACACCCCTGGTGTATCAAAAATCAAATGAATTTCTCTTTATCTCAAATGTAGACAGTCAGACAAGGAATGTTTGGTGTCCAAAGTTTGCTTCTTTAGTTTTGCTCTGGAGCTTTGAAACATGTAGCTATCAATTAAATTAAGTGTATACATCAGGAATTAGCACTATGCTGGCTGCATGCCTAATTCATCACATATTTGCTTCAAACCACATCGAATTGTGAAGTAATCTCACAAAGACTTGTGTGGTTTCTGGGACAATGTGACGTATTGTTATCTATAAAAATAGACAAAAGTACAGAAACAATGCAGGCTTCAGGGTGGCTGCTCCTGCTGGTTTTAAACTTTGTGACGTACCTTCGTCCATTTTTATAGATGATAGAATGTCATACAGTGTCAGAAACCACAAAGCAAGTCTGTCTGAGATTACTTATAAATTCAGTGTGGTTTGAGGGATGACTTAGGCCTGCAGTTTGAACACTGCTAATTGGTTGCTCTAAACTTCTATTACTTGTTAACTACATTAGCCTTGTAGCTTCAGCGCAAAACTAAAGAAGGAAGCATCAGACACCAAACATGTTTTTGCTGACCAAATACACTCAGGAAGAAAGATAAAAATTGTGTGAATGTTCTTTTGCCAAACAAATTCTTTTTCTCTTTCTTTGTCTCCACCCTAGAACCTTTTTTAAGTAACCTCATTTTCTGTCCTTGTTTTGTTCTTGGCTTTTCTTCCTTTGTGTAGCGTGATCCGCCACAGAGATGTGCGGGCCTGCCACTATGGCGTGATAGATAAGTTCCGGCTGCAGGTGTCTGAGCAGAGTCAGAGGAAGGCTCTAGGCAGGAAAGAGGTGATGGCCACACTGCTGCCCTCAGCAGCCCAGGAGCAACCTCAAGTCCGGCCCCAAGAGGAGGAGCGGAGGATGAAGGAACAGCTGGCTGACAGTGTGTTCTTTGAGCAGACCGCATTCCAGACAGGTAGTCAGAAACTACTTTATTACTTGCTGGGAATGCTGACTAGTCACATGAACAGTGTAATGGGCGCCAGAGTTCTTTTTCATGTAAACCTTTCTGTCTATACCGTTGCTGTTGGGACGAAACCTTGTACAGTTGCAAAATGGTAATTTTACAGGAGTAAGAAAAAAACATTCTTTGCTTTCAATGTAATTTCAAGGAAAAAATTAATTCCAAGTAATTTTGGACCGTTTCTTTTGGTCCTTTCATCTTGAAATTTCAACACGATGTAAAAAAGTAACTGGCAAAATTCTGTTAAAAACAAACCAAAAAAGACTCGAATTGAGATACCAAGGTTTTGTCCTCACAGTGAGAATACAGTAGTGCTACACAAATGGACAATATGCTAGTATTGTTATCATGTTGCTGTGTATTGCCATACCTTGCAATACATTAAAAATGCATTAGCAAATCAATAATGAGACATGTTTAAAGGTGGGCCCGTGTTATTTTCACCAAAAGTACATGAGTACCACGATTCATTAAAACAGCCACAGAACAGTCACCTGGAACTATGTGATTTTTTTTTTTCCAATACTGACTTACATACTTTGCATTGAATTATAATAAGCTAGACATTAAGGTATTTTAGATGTTTTGTTCAATATTTCATGTTTTCTGTAAACAACAAGAAGCTATTAAATGATGATTAATGTATTGTAATTATCTATTTCTGGTAACTTCTTCCTTAAGATTTGACTGCTTCTTTTCAAATGTGAGACATTATGGATTTTAATTTTATTATAACTTATATGTCAATGAGTCTGAATGAACTTTCTGTACACATCCAACATTTCATCATTTTTTTTTTTTTACAGCGTCCTACAAATTAGTTGAAACTAATGAAATTTTAGAGTTGTAACATCACATTAAAATCATTTTACACATGTACAGTCACATGCAAACGTTTGGGTGCCCCTAGTCAAATGACAGTTTGTTGATTTTCAAAGTGAAAATAAGTTACACATCCTCTACAGAGAACACACCTCTGTACCTTTTAATACACAGATACTGTTTATTTGCTCAGTGTAACGTATTGGGGGGGGCTTAAAAACTGTTCTCTGTAGAGGATGTGTTAACTTACTTTCACTCACAAAATGAACAAAACGTACTTTGATTAGGGGTGTCAAACTTTTACACAGGACTGTATCAACTGCAACAAATTTGGTTTTATATTAATGAACAGCGATTCCATGATTAACATTTCACTCAAAATATTGAGTGAAATGCATGAAACTTCTGATACTGCAGTTCTATTTTGTGTCACTGGGCAGCACTAGAGAGCTACGTTCATTACAGAATTTCTAAATGTGTGTGGTTCACAGAGAGTCGTGCAGCATCCGGCGGCCCGAGCCTGCTCACTGTCCTATTGGGCCTGGTGTGTATGGCCGCCCTAATGCTCCCAACTTTGGGAGAGCAGGAATCCACAGTGCCTGTCTACCTCCACTTAAGTGTTAACAAGAAACTTGTAGCTGCTTATGTTTTAGGTGAGTTGTACAATGATTTGTTACAGATATCATTACTGAAAATGAAAAACTGCACATGAACATTTGGCCTGTTGCAATTATTTGATTTAACTTGTTTACTCAGTTTAAAAATTCTTGATTAAAACATACATTTTCAGTTAAACAGCAATGGTAAGTTGGCATTTTGGTTGTTTTCCATGATGATAATACATACAGTCGCTGTTTGGAATCACTTGCCATGTTCATATTTGTCATTTTATATACACTAATAACTTGTTCAATCTGGATTTAAATATTATGGTCTATTTACTAAAATGTATTTTAGATATTTCAGAAAATTTGGTTAACAAGATGTGAATGAAATGCTAAATTCTATTATGTAATTATCTATTTATATATAATAAATTCATTCTCGATTCTGTAGAGCTTTCTCTGTCATTTAAGAGTCTTCTGTAGCTCCGTTCATCATTCTGGACACATCTGATTTTTTTTTTCTTTTTAACAGCTTCCTACTGTCCTACCAATTATCTAAAAGTTTTGAGAATGAACAGGACTAACAAAGTTGAATCGTTTTATAAACTTGCCTGCAACCGAATTGCTTTATAATGTCCAAAACATTGATTCCAAACTTTTGAATGCTAGTGTACATCACAACCTTTCAGCCACTGCTCACCATGTTTTTTGCTTGTTGCTTTTCTCATACAGGTCTTCTTACAATGGTTATCCTTCGCACATAGAGTGCTGCTGGTTGACATCTTTGTACAGAGGAACTGAGAAGAAGAGGGGAAATACAGACATTTGCACAACGAGAAGAGTTGTGAGGGGTGAGCGTACAGAAAAAACAAAAAAAAAAAACAAAAACAAGCTACCCTCTTAACAGGAACTAACTGCTTCAACGACATTACAAACTTTTAGACACAAAGAAGATGCAATGATCCTGGGGCAAAGGGAGGGAGGCACTCTAGGTGTACAAACAGAAACACTGACTGAGCTGGCACCTGAGCCAAGCTGACTATCAGGGGAGGTGGGAAGATGTTTGTGTGTAGAACCACAAGGATGCGTTAAATTAAATGTGTTGTTTTACTTCATATCCTGTGTGTCTGTGCCGTTTTGTTTACCGTCTCAAATGGAACGACGAACGCTGTAATGAGCATGCATGTAGTTTGTCTGCAATGAGTCCTCACATTTTCACCAAACCATGTCTGTCACCCATGTTTGCTTTTCATTCACCTATCTAGTCCTGTACGCAAGAAAAATCTCTTAGATGTTCCCATAGAATAAACAAAGCTGATTTTTCAAAAAGCCTTTCTGAATATGTACCGTGTGATGACGGGATGTTTTAGGACAGCATGTGCAAATGGCCAGCACGGATTTCAGACTGCTAGTTGCTGAGGACTTTTGTCTAAACAGGTTTTCTGCACCTAAATGGTGCTCAAATTTTAGATCTAACATGTTCATGGGTTTCTTATTGCACACTCAAATTATGAGTTACAACCATACATTCAAGGTTGTTCTGAGTTAAATTCTGCTATATCTTTCAAGGGACAAAAAAAAAAAAACATTGTGATATCTGCTGTAAACATGCCTACTTGCCTCTTACAGCAGTGATAGAGGAGGCTCTAGAGCACGATTTTCTGTTTAAAGACTAGGAAACCCCCTTCTTATGATGTGTTGTGAAATTTTCAAAGACTGCAAGTGCTTTGGGGTAGATACTTGGGGTTAGCTGTTTGATCTTTTTTTCCACAGACTGGCTAAATTATTCCTTTAAAGGGCCCATATTGGAAAGACCAATTTCCCTCAATTTTCTTGAAATCTGAGGGAAGTGTGCAAACATTGTTAAAGGTTTAAAGTAGCGTTCAGCCCCCAGTCCACATGAAAACTAAGCTGTTGAATTCATTGTTTGAAACTAATGTACATGCATATATCCACCTATTTAACCTACAACTGTTTAGCCCCACCTTTTCATGCTTAAGTTATAAGTAGTGTAACATTCTAAATGTAAAGGTCAGTCAATCAGAAGAGAGGTCATTTACATGCATCAGTCTTTAAGGCTCAGTAATAGAAACAGCCTGTTTAGCTCTAAAGGATGAGCACAGTGCTGCACTATAGAATACTACATAACATTAAGTGCTAGTTTTAGGCTGAAGTGCTCTGAACGAGCTGTACTTTCAGCAATAACTAAAAGTAGTAGTGTCTGGAAGGAAACTGGCTTATTTTGAAAGAATAAATGCAAGTTACATCTTCATTGAACAAAAAAACTGCATCAGTATTCTCATATTTGGAATCACATACAGTGGTAGAACATGCCTGGTAAAACACACCTCCTTCCAGCTAATTTCCCTTTAGGTCTTGAAAGTACTCATTTAAATAGAACAATCCAGAGTGAGTCAGACTGCTGTGGCTCAGCATCCCAGACATTTGCACAAGGTTTACGCATTTATACTCTTTACATTAAAAACACTTACAATGGGAGAAAGCATGCAACCCTGTACTTAATGAGATCTCATTCCTCAAAAAAAAAAAAAATTACCAATAGCAATAATTGTAGGACAAATAATTTATTTTGTAATCTGAAGATCACTGATATGAAGGGGACAAGAATTTTTTTGTCCATTTAGAGCAGAGCACAACAAAGATTTCATCATGTAAGCTCTTAACTCACTCTTCAAAACTTTAACACACAAACTTAGGTTCACGCTTTTAAAAGTACTCTGTTCATTGAGTCTAGAGGACAGCGTAAATTAAATAAAATATCAGACAAGTCCACAGGACAAAAACAAATCTGTAAAGCAAACCACAAAGTTCAACCATCTATACAGTACAGGAAGGGGACTTACAAGGCCCACTTACTGCTTTGTTTGATAGCAAAGAAAGACATTCAGAAAAAGGATACATGTCAAAGTTTTGTGTCTGTCACTTTTCTTACATGGAGGGGAAGTCACACCTTTAAATTCACTTCAAAAAAAAAAAAAAATAGATATATTTATATAGGATTTACAATCACTTCCTTGTTTGCAAATAAATCTGAATTTATGAGGCATCATACCATGCTCTGAGGAAATAAAGCCGTTTCTTTGTTTTCCCAAATGAAACTCATTTATAAAACCATTTACAAAAAAATACTATTTACTAAAATAACTCAAGCCTAAATTAATAACAACTTACACAAGTACAATTTTACATCTCTTATATACAGATCTTTAATGGCACACTACTTTTATAAATCAGTAGACCTTTCCCCCAAAGAAACAAATCTTCTGTTTATGATGAGATTTAATTAACGTCGTCTGTCGCACTTGTTTAATCGTCTAACAGCACCTAATTCCAATCTTCCACTGATCTAAACTGCTTCTGCATCTTAGCACAGACGTTGCTTTTGCAGTGACTTGCAGTAGTTCATCCCATCAAAAAAAGGCATAGAACAAAGAAAAATCCCTTTAATTCATTCAAGGGTGTCACCGTCACACAGTGCAATATTCTAAAGGCGGATGAAAAAAAGGTGTAGCTACTGAGCGCTTAAAGGGTAGTAAAATGCACTGCAGTCACAGCTCTCTAAAGCTATGATGAGTATAAACCATGTTGTAGAATAGTATACCTGAAGAAAAATTGCAACACAGGCTGTAAAAATGTGCTGTAGTGTTGAAGTCCTGGATTTAGTGGTGACCACCCCCCTTAATATTGCATTCTACCAACATTCATTCCATATCTAAACAGCTGACGACAACCGTTAACTCCATTAGACAAATGTAATGAAGCACTAAGTGTGATAAATAGAATCTCATACATGTTGTCCCCCACTCCTGCCATCTACATGAATATCAAGAGAGGACAATCTTTACAGTTGACCACTCTTAAGCAGAAACAACTCAGGTCGCAAATGTATGCAAGTGCAATTGCACCTCTAATAAAACTCCACAAGGGGCTGACTGTCAGTTAACTGGTCGAACACTGCACACATTCACGTCTGCACAAGATTATAAATGAGAGACTAATAACAAATCACATTATATGTACATACTTACAAAACCAAGAGCAGGAACAAAAATAAGTTAAATTCTTTCACACAATACCTGTTGGCAATCTGCTTATGCAAATTAAAGACCTATTACAATAGTCTTGGATACAGCCCACAGGCAAGCTAATGGTGCTGTCGCGAGAGGGAACACTTCACTCTCTAAGAGCCATATCCTTATGGTGGCATTCCTCTAATAGAAGAGAACTACAGTAACAAAGCCATATACAACGGCAGGGCTCTGGAAGGCTGTTTGCTTCGTTATGGAGCTACACCCCATCTATTACATCCTTATATAGCAGCTGGTGCAAACAGCATCCACAGTCTTCATCCCCACATATCACCCTGATGGTACTGTCCACACAAAGATTATCTGCAGGGCTTTGGTTTCCTTTAATACAGACACCCCACTCAGCTTCACCGCACTGTCCCACTGGAAAGCAAACCCCAGGAGAATTCGAAGACCAGATCAAAAGCAAGGTTGGGAAGGCATAGGAACAGAAGCTCAAATGTGTGCAGAGGGCCCTAACGGACGCTCTTATCCTCTAACCTCAGCGTAACGGCTCTCTGATACATGCTCACTTGGGGGAGAGGTCCTGGAGGGGGGTGAAGGGAGAGTTGCTGGAGGAGGGTGACACTCCTTCCATCTTAGCAGGAGAGCCTGAGGAGGAGCCAACACTGCTGAGGCTCCCATCGAGCAGGTCTGGAGAAATACTAGTAGGAGAGAAAATCCAATTAAGGGTTATAAAGACCACAGTAACAACATACCATACATAAGACCCCAATGATACGAGGGTCAGAGAGCTTTTAGTTACAAATAAAAGGTCTAAGTTTACGAGCTTTTCTTCAGGAAACTGTTGTGCTTCTAAGGATGTGCATAGGCGCTCAAGTACTGTTAACCATTTGAAGCGCCACTATTCTAAAACTGAAATCACTATTTGGATCTTCGTCCCATTTCGTCACAGGAAGACGGAGAAAATAAAAGCCAAAGAGGCAATAAAACGCTGATTTTATGTTTTAACATAACTGTAAAATGTGAAAGTTTTGCTCATATTTGTGAGTATATTATACTTTGCTACTCCAAAACGTGAGTGCTTCAACGTATGCACAATGCCAGGGATGCATTGTCAAGGACATGAGGGGCCAGAGATAGCATGGCCAGTACTGCTACAGATTTGAGATTGCTAGAATAAAACTCCCCATTAATCAATTTATCAGCATGTAAAGTAAACTGACAAACCCTGATGTTTTCTGTAGATATTATAATGAATCATAGGGAAATGTACAAATGTCATCCCCCCTAGTTGTGCAGCCATTTCATTCCATGCCATTCCAACCACAGGGCACAGCAGTGTAATCCCAAAAGATACTGTTACACCAGATTGTTGCTGTCACACCGAAAGTGTCTCCAAAATTGCAAATAACGCAGCAAATTCTTTACTCTTACTGTTAAGTCAATGTAAAGAAATTTTATCCTAAGCAATTTGGAGCATTTCTGTTTGACCATTAATCATATAATTTTCACACCACGAGAAGGACATCTGTGCTCAAATGATGTAAAATAACTTTTTTTTTTGGACAGCGATGAAATACAGCTGCTAGCTGTAACTCACCAGGAGCTGAGTTCTGGTAGGTGGGATGTCTCTGTGGACAGCATGGTGGTGGTACCTTGGAAGAGTCTCTTGGGCTGGCTCTCTGGTTCCATCTCACCTGAAACTTCCAACCAACACACTAAAAGTCATTTCACACCCCTGTGTACATAATCTTCTGTGAGACTTAACACAACATCATATACAACTTTTACCCCTAATAGATGGTACTATGCTGTGCTTTTTTTAAATATGGGAAAAAAAATGTTTCTTGTGCATGCCCCCTTACCTTTACGTTTGATAGGGCCCAAGATGCTGGGCCTAATGCAGTTAATAGGGCTCTGACTTCTCCTACTGAGGAAATAGACAGAAATAGCTGAAATTCATTGAGCACTTCCAAATCACACTAAAATAAACAGAATGTTTTTAGTAACAAATTAGATCGCAGGATCTTACCTAAAGCGACGTGTTGGGCTGGGGATAGGGCTAGGATTTAGACCATTACTGCTCACCAAGATTTGCAGAGATGGAGAGAAGCACTGCTGCTCAGTGAGGAAAAAAGAAAGAAAGAAAAAATATGAATATTTTGTCTTAAATCTATTGCATTCAAGATGTTGGAGTGCAGGACTATGTGTACATAGCTCCTGTTAATACAACAAAATATACAAACCTTCTTCCCAATTCCTCTAGTGGGAGATGGAGCTGGAGACACAGGCACAAAATCTATACGTTTTGGGGACGATGATGAGGACTTCTCAAAGTCATTGTCACTCTGGAAGAACAAAACACCAATTTACCAACGTTACCCCTCGAAATATAACTAGTTTATTGTTGGAGTACTATACTACCAACACAGTCTGTTCTTGAGAGACTGGTGGCCCTGTTAACTCCATGACATTTACTTTAGCATGCTGTATCTTACACGTCCACAATCTCATCAGTGGGGAGAGGTGGAAGTCTTGTGGCTCTAAAGCCACCGCATGCAAAGTCTTTAAACAGTCAACAGTACTTTACATAGTATTATGCAGCTCACAAGCAAATTAACATGTGGGTTTCTGTCTCTGAAGAATTAAATGTCAAAAGTACATTCCTTTGTTTTGTGAGGCATTAATACATATGAATAGCCTTACCAGACTGAGACTCTCTTCCCATGACTGGCTCATTTGCATGGCTGCCTGTACCTCCCTAGTTGAAAAAGAAGGACAAAAGACAAACACAGGTTGTTGATTTTAAGTTTATAAGTTCAAGTGACAGCAACCCAAAATACACCTAAAACTGTTTGCTATTCAGCATACCAACAGAATATCAACATTTGTGCTTTGAAAACAGAAAAGGAAACTGACAGTCTAAAGATCAATGTTGGTCAAAGCACAGTTTAATACTGTGCCCTGTTTGCCATCTTTATTGTGTGTACATTTCATTAAACAAGTATGAAAACTGTTAGTCACTTCTCTACAATAATAAAAGGAACTGTAGACCCAGTTGCTTACCGTTCATGAGCCGTTTCCCTGTTCATTACATCAACACCCTCCTCCTGCAAAGAAACAAAGCATTATTACCTATAAAATTAAAATGATAACACCACTCAACTGGTATTCCTGTATTATACAATATTCTGCATAAGCAAGACTAACTACATATTACTGCACTTATGCAGTTAAGAGTACAGAGTTTGAATTCAAAGTATAAGCATAATTTGACGTTCATGTTTGTACTTATTTTTCCACACTGATGGGCATTTTACCTGTTTGATCCTTTGAAGTCTAGTGCTAGGAACTCGAACCGGGGAGGATGGGACCTGAATCAATGTTACATAAATAAGAAGCAAAAACAAGCTGTACTTTCACAGTAATTTAATGTTTTCCACAACAGTCTAATGCCAGGAACCACTGCACAGCATGCTACGTACCATATTGGGTCGATTAACAAGAGTTGTGCTGTTTCTCCTGCTGCGTAGAACCTCTCTTTGGAAAACCTGAGAGCCGTCACTGAAAAAAAGGAGTAAGCACACATTACTATCAGACAATAAAAGTTAACTAATACAATTGCCAAAAAGAGGGTACTGCATTCGGCATGTCTTGGCTTTGTCAATGTATGAGTTTTATACTACCAACACAGTCTGTGCTTCAAAGACTGGTGGCCCTGTTGACTCAAAAAGTTTTTCTAGCATGACTGTGAACCCATACTCCAGCATGCAGAATACAGCTGTATAACAGTCATGCATGCACAAGGTATCCTGTGTGTGCTCTCGACAAAGCGCCCTAAACGAAAGGCGATATACAGGTAAGCCATTTCAAATAAAGTCATGCAAGGAACTTAGGATTAGTAATGAACCTTAAGCCATTTATCATAGGCTCGCTGTTGGATCTCCTCAGGTGTCCGTCGCTCTGAACAAGTGCGGAGGGGATATCGAGGTCCAGCTCCATCTTCTCCTGCGACATTATTCCTTGATTGTTCATCGTAGCTACCGTCGTCCTATCACGATTTATCTACCAGAATGCTACATCTTTGGAAGTCGTGAGGAGGCCAAACCAGGTCGATGGTCGAAGTCGGGCTTAGGGGCTCATCTCGCAGTGCTCAGTGAGAGAAGACTGCTTGTGTGCTTTTGACGTTCAGAACCGAAAGAAGCTTTTAGCTACATGCATGGCTAACACATCAGTCGGAGCAGGCTAAAGCAAGACTTCGCGCCCGCACACCAAGGCACGTACCCATCCTTTCACTCCGAGACTAAACTCGTCTGCGCCACCCCTAACTCGCTGGCTAAACGCTAGCTGGCTAACTTCTTCGTCCCATGCGCTGGCTGGCTAACTGTGTGTCTCGTTAGCTTAGCTCGACACCCCGCCGTCCGACTAACAAGCCCGGTCAAGATAGATCAGCCCGAAATTTCCAACAAGTCTCCATGCACGAGTTGTTGTGGGGAGCACTCGAGCAGAACAAAACCTCCGAGAACTAAACCCCGAACCCGTTTTCTCTCAAGACACCACAGCCAATACTAATTCAGGAACGAAATAACGATAGCTCGCCTATGAGGCACAGTAACACTCAGCTGGCCATCATCGAGAAGGGAAACTAGCTTTCTAGCTAATTAGCCTGCTAGACGCGCTATCCGTGATGCGCCGCTGCTGATGCGCTAGCCTGAGAAAAGATAAACCGCCGAATGAGGTGTAAACCGAGCCAACGGCCAGCTGCCTTCCGACGGCTCCTATTTCCCCGGTTCCCTGCGTGGACTCCAAGTTAACTCAGCAGATAATTTAGCTGCGACAACCATTTCACTCAAAGTTGTGTTTATCAATCCTTGGACGCTGCAGTGAACCTCCAGCCTCAACCAAGCTTTCCCGCCCCTTCTGTTTCTAACCAGTGACTGACAACGCCGAGAGCCAATCAGATCGCCTCGTACTTTTTTCAAACGGAGCTCAGGGAGGGAGTGGCCAATGAAAACGCAGCGTGTTTTCAGCTTCCTGGAGACGTTAGGGTTCGACGTCACGTTGTACCGCCCTCCCTCTCGGCCCGAAGAGACACACATGCGTGTGTTCGGTTCTTTGTTGGTGGAGTTACCACGCAACTCATTTACCGAAAAATAAGAAATGAGAGAAATACAAACTTAATCGAAATATTTTCACTGAAACAGGGAGATACGTTGAAAATGCTGCTGTATTCTCGTTCATCTTTAAAGAGTCCTTGGCGTGGACAGACCTCGTATAGCTCCTGTTTTGTACAGGCCTGACAGTAATGAGCACAGCAAACCCAGCTGCTAGGCTACATGAAGATAAAGCAAAGATACCCTACGACTAGGAACATACGAAAGCACCTTCTCATGTTACTGTTGTTGTTGTATTTTACATTGCATACTCATAATGTTTAAAAGCTAAAGAAACACCACACTGAAAAAGACATATTCCAGGCTGGGTTCTGAGGCCTTACCTTTCCTGCAGCACACACCCTCCCTTTTCAGCTCTCCTCTCCTACTGGCTTAGTTCTCACACTCCTACAACTTCAAGGGTAGAACCACCAAACCCTTTTTACAGAATGTTTGTGCTTCCTTGTTCATTTCATTATATGTCAGGAACCTGTATTTCCAATCGCAAAAACTGGAATAGAACTTATTTGTTTTTGTTCTTGGTCCTCCTCCTGTTCTTTTTTTTTACACCCCCAATTCTCATTTGACTGCCATTTATTCTTGAAGCTGAAGAGATTCATGCTATGACTGCTCAGTAGGCCCTATCCTGTTTTTAGCCCAATTTCTTCCCCAGCATTTACATTTACTGCCATTTTAAACTGCTGATTTCATCAATTTATATACAGTTCTTTTTCTTGTAGCAATTAGATAAGCTAATATGCCAGCAACAGTCAATAATTCAGCAGTCTTTTCATGTATTTTTTTCATCCCAGTGTAGGAGCAGTTATTTTAAATGTCTTCTCATTGCCTGTACTTCTACATTTTTTTTCAGGGAGCTGTTTAAGTGTTTGTTCATTTATAATATCTTCAGGGTGTTCTAAAAGTGTTCCTTGTTTTTGAGTTTACACAGTGCAGTTCTAAATTATCTTCCTTTATTTACTACTATGTAAAGCTATACAACAAGAACCTCAACTGCATTTAGCCTGAGGCTAATGGCTTCAGGTGAACCTCAGTGAGGTCAATTATTTTAAAGGCTTTTGGCTCAGTGAAGCTTAACACCCTTTTGTTACAATGTTTAGATTAAATTTTGTCAAACCCATTTTGCACATTTGTCCTTCTTAGGAACATTCATCTCCCTAAGCAAATCAAAACGACCTATTATGGCTAAAAAAGGGCACAAGGAACAGAATTTACTTTATATCAGTTGAACTTGATCTGTTGGTTCTCTAAGATTGGTCTAGCTAAAATAAAAACAAACATAATTTTTATATCCTGTGGTAGAATTCAGTAATTGTACAATAAATGTAAGGTAGTGGGCAACATGTCAAACACATAACATCACAGAACTTGAAGATATTTTCACAATACACAGTCTGCCTCATTTTGTATTTACTGTTTAAGTTTCAAAAACTATGAATACAAAGATTTTTATTAAATGTTTCACATATTAGCCAGTCTTAATAATGAAATATGCAGTAGGTCACGTCGTGAAGTAATAAGTGTCTACAATATGCTCAGTAAAGCATATCGTAATGTGATGTAGTTTATCACAGTAACTTTACTTATCTGTTATGGCCTGACCCTAGATGGGGTCATAACAGTCCACCCCCAGTAAAATCAGCCTTAATTCACAAAGATGAACATGCTATACAGATGTGATACCACATTGCACCAGTTGTAATTCAGAAATTATTGGCTGCTGAATTTATATATCCTTCTGAATTTCTAGTAAATAATGCACAGTTGATAAAAGATCTTGTCCATGTGTTGCCTTTACCTTTTTCCATGTCTGTATCTCTGAAAAAACCTTACACAACACCCTCTCTCCCACATTAGCCCATCTTTGCATAATATAACCCCTACACAGAGCTCACAGGCTTATGCGTAATGGAAGAGTCACATGTTTATGCACAGCTCACTTCACGGCCTGCTGTCTGGCAGCAGACAAAGTTTCTTTTCTGTGCTCCTAATGAGAGACACAAGTTATTGAGCCAGGCGACTGCGAGGTCATTACTCAGGTCAGGCGATGCTAATGCTGGCTTGTGCCCTAGCAAAGGGAATTCACTGGGCAAGGGGAATCCCCTAAAAGATGGCACACTTTATTTCTCGGAACACTGCATTGAGATAAACGCACGGTAAACATATCCCTAAAAGCTTTCCAACTGATATTTTCCTACTGGGCTGATTTGCATATGCACTTTTACTTCTCTGGATGTCTCCAGCAACTCATAGAGATTGTTTTCTTTGCGACTGAGCAATTTTGCATCAGGGCCCTTTGCAGAAAGCAACCCATAGTAACACTGCTGAACAAGGCAGAAATGTGGTGTATCAGACATGTACACAGGAGAGAAAGGCAAAAAACAAAAGTATGTAAGTCAAACAAGTCAACAACATTCCATTAATATGAATTATTTTTGTATTAATTATATCACTGAAAAAGATCTATAGTATTACTACAGGGCTTTCTACAAGAATTTTATTCAGGCAATTGCTATAGTTTGCTACAGTGTCCTATTGCATTATAGATACATATAGACTACATTACAGTAGATTATAAATTATAACAGTATAACAGCACTATTATAGGATATATATATATCTATATCTATCTATATACACATACACACACACACACACACACACACACACATATATATATATATATATATATATATATATATATATGTATGTATGTATGTATATAGGACATACAGTGCATGACAGTATTGCCGTAGATATTTTTGCAATGGCCAATAAATAGCAATGGTCGGTAAGTGTGTATATAAAAACTAGGGAAAAACCAGGGAGGTTGTAAGATTAGACTAAAAAGTGTAATTACATTACGAACAAAAGGTCCATCCACCACAACATCTCCCAGCCTTCTCTAAGAAGAGCTGTCCTCTGTGAGTCTGATCGTGCCACGCCGCTGCTGCACTCCTCCTCCCTCAGCGCTCCCACAAAGCTTTGCAGGAGACCGTACAATGAAATTTCGGACTTTTTTTCACGTTTCGGCGCCATTTTCGATTGGACTGGAGGTAAGTTCTGGGATTTTCGAGGCAATATTTTTCGTGATTTTTTCCCTCAGTCTCACGCTGTCAGTTTACTTTCGTTCAACAGCTTCTGCCGTCTCTGACCGCCCGAATAAACCGGGTTTAAGTTTTGCTACACCGTGTCAGAGAGCATTAGCCTGCCAGCTCAGTTTTTTACGCTTCGGACACTTTAACTTTGCTTGAAAACCGGAGCCGGAGCGAAAAAACTAAACTTCTTAAAATGTTTCTTTTAGCACGATTTGAAAGTGAGGACACACAAATCCGCGACTTTATACAGCAAAACATAAGTTATTTTATGTTTTAAATCGTTTCCCTCAACGCGTCTTCCCATGAAAGTTGTTTTTTTCTGTCACTGTAGGCTAACGCCAGTCAGCAGAGCTGTAGCCTATAGGGGCCATATTAGGGACCATCTTGATGAGTTCACTTACTAATCGATGTCCAACATTTGTCTCTCACTAATCTGTGAAAACAGGTCTATGTTTGCGTCCAGTCTGAACATTTATTCAATAAATAATTGGAGACATTGCTGAGTACACAGTAATGTTCATTGATTTGTCAGCACCGGCATGTACAGGCATGTTGGACATGTTAAGTCTACGGGTAGTTCATGGCCTTTTTCATGGCAATGCCACCGAGATAGGAAAAGAAATAAACTACAGCGTTAATCATGCAGTTTGAGTAAGCTAGATACTTTTTTCACACACGTTGCCAAAAAACGGCCCTTGTTAAATTTGACTTTAAACGCACACCAGGCGTGTGAGGTAAGTCCAGTTTAGTTCCTTGTCTGTTTATTGCACAATGTGGTTATATTGTTTGGTAAGATGTTGCAGGAACAAGAGAACTACAGCACACTTTGACGTTTAGAAACGAGGATATGTTTGGTCATGTCCCACTTGGAGATTTCTCCTGCGTCGTCAGTCCTTCACTCATATCTGCTTCTACTCGTATAACTACGTTTAGTTCAGCCGCCAAGAGCGATTTAAATAATTAAAGTGAATTAATCTGCGTAAAAATAACAGTAATACAAGTACACGTACATGTATGTGAAAGTACACATACACACGTAAGTGCTCATAATGATAGTGTTTAATACAAATAAATATGGATGCATTTCCACTGTCAGTGAAATTATCACTATTATTACTAACAGATTTTTGTATTCATTTTCAAGGGACCCCTTTTACATCGACCAGAAAGTCTAAGCAGTCCGAGGCCTGTCTCAAAGGTAAAGCCTCTCAGTTGCCCTCTGCTGCTCCTTCAGCCCCCTATAGGGGGCGCTCAAACTTCACTCAAGTTTTCAAGGTTCGCTGATTTCCTGCATTTCTGATTATACAGGCTTACATGTTTTTAGTTAGCGTTATTAAAGAGGAATTCCACCGATTTTTCTAAATGTGTGCATAATTAAATGGTTAAGATGTAAACAAATGTATTCAAAATGATTTGAAATCATGAAGTCCTCCTAGTGAAACCTGCCGAGTTAGAGTTGTTCAGAGTGGTGGTGATAGGAACCAGACATCTCAACTGTTCAGTACAGTCACCAGGTTCCTTACAAAAAGTTAATACATGAAATATATATGAATATGCTGCCTGATTCCTGAGACTTTGCTTTACAATAGTTTTGATATCAGGTTTAGGCCTTAAAAACTTTCTCCCCCATTCATGGTGAAGAGATACATGCAGGGTGTTGTAAGAAAAAATAATACCCAAAGAAAACTTTTTGTACCATTAGTTGACCATGATCAACATTACATATAAATACTCAAAAGACTAGTAAATAAATAGTAAATAAAATGGCTATATTTGTGTTGTAGACACACATTTGTGACCCCTGGTTCCTATCACTACCACTGTAAAGAGAATCTACTACAGTCAAAATGTCTCCATATTTGGTTTGTCCACCAGAATTATTCCAGCTCTCTTTTAGAGCAGTGCAGATGTTGAGATTATAAAATGGTCCATCTTTTCAAATATTCTCAAGTTTAAGGCCTGCTGACTGTTTTGTGAAAAAAAATCCTTTTTTATTTACAGCTTAAAATAGTTTGTTCTGCTTTTAAGTAATTTATTCTTGAATACTGAATGTCAAATGACATGTTAATAAGTTGTGTATAAAGAATTAAAACAGGTTTTAGTAGCATAGTCAGCCTTTTTGACTTGAGCTCTGCATGGAAGATTGGAGTTTGTCTAAGAAACGAGGAGCCTGAATGTGCGTGTTTGTGTGTTTTTTGCTGGTAGCTTTACTAGCAGCACGTCATGATTTGTAGTGGTAATGGAGATGCAGATCATGAAGAGCTGCTGGTACAACTCTAGCACCGTCCCTCATCTTACCAACTTGGCACGATTTCAGTAACGTGCACCGTCGAGGATGTGTCCGTGAGCCGTGTTATAGCAGCACGTCAATACTGGAGTTGAAAGTTTTGGTATCCAGTGTTTCTGTTCTGCTCTAGTAAGGCCTGTCAGCACATACTGTCTTGAACCCAGGGCTCAACAAGTTTTCAGTACTGTTTCTTTCAGTTTCAAGAGGACAAAGAAAATCTGTTCTGTTCAGTATGTCTGAACAGTGATAAACCTGAATAGAATTAATTAAACAAATGCTTTCAGATCACAGCAGTGTGCAATATATTTATATTCATGCTATTTTTTTAAATAAAGACTAAACACTCCTAACTGTCGATTATGAAGAATCAATAGTAACTATACACTGACATACTGTAATTTTTATAGTCACATGCATAAATATGGACACCCCTGGTCACATTACCGGTTTTGCTAATACTCAAAGTGAGACAAAGTACACCTCCTCCACAGAGAACACACTGCTACACATTCTAATGCACAATTACTGTTTTTTTGGCTGAATTGACATTGGATTAAAAAAAAAATGGCCTGTGTAAAAGTTTCATATGCATTTCATATTTTCCCAAATCGTTAAACTCACCAAATAAATAGAAATCCTCCACTAAAATTGGCAGAAAATGCCATATTCAAGTTTGTTCCCTGCAGAGGATGTGTTCTTATTTTCACTTAGAAAATCAACAGAATGTAATTTGACCAGGGGTTCTCAAACTTCTGCATACGACTGTAACTCGTATGTCTAATGTGTATGTTTATCAGGAAATATCAAGATGGGGCACTAGTGTTTGGGATGGACATCAAGTGTTCATGTGTCAGAGGCATCACAAAGAGTAGTAGACTCGTAGGAGAGATCCAGAAAGGGAATCAGGGTTGACTGCATTTCAGCACCACCTTGTACCATCTGTGCACCATATGACCCGGTCAGCAATACTACAGCTGTGAGTCAGTGACTACCCTTAAGAGCTTTGCTTTTAAGATAAACTGAGTGTTGAAAAACACATGCTCCTTAAAATCCATCTGAAATCCAATTTAAGACAAATACCATATATTACATTCAATGCAATACATTTTTAATGTGATATCCTCAAGTCACGCTGATACAGTGGTCCACTACGTGATGAAATAACCTACTCCACATGTCACAACAGAATTGGGATGCTGTTTGAAAACAGCATTTAAGGTGTACGCTTTAAATTTAAAAACCAAGGGGGCCCAACTCTGGTCCTGTTTGGCTAAGGTCCAGCTTTCTTGATTTCTTTGCTCAAATGCACCTTTGATTCTGCTCATCAATTAAGCAACAAGTTTAGTAGACACTGGAGCAAACTGCTGGACTCCAGCACACCAAAGTTCACCCCCCCCCTCCCCCTTCTCAAAACTGTTTTAAATAATCAATTTTAGGACCTAGATATGCACTCCATGCCTAGCATACTGACCTATAAGGCTAATTTACAAGCTGGTAAATTAAGAATGTGTAGAATAAGTTGCCTTCAGTTCATCAGTTCTTGTGTTGTTACAGCAAGTGTATCGGTATGATTGTTATTGTGGCTATATGACTTGGCATATAAGGCACCATAACATGCGCCCCCCCCCCACCCATGTAAAATTGTCAAAAACACTTAAGCAGCAGCATTGCTCCTAAACTGCAATAAACAGACATCATAAAAGCAGGTAAAATGATTGGACTTACAGTTACTGAAACAAAATTCTTTTTTCATTAGTTGGATAACAGATTTTCTGTATCAACTGCTTGATCTTAAATGTTAAGTACTTTTGCATATATATCGCAATCTTACTGGTAAAAGGATGCATGTTCATTAAATTCAACTGTGCAAATCATGGTCTTGTACTATAAATCTTTGACTCAATAATTGATTTTGTTCACTGTGCAAATACATGGGATTGATCCTATTAAGCAGGATATAATTCTAATTTTTTGGTTAGATGCCACCTAATTTTGATGAATGAAATATTTATCATAACGTCTGGCGATAATTTCAGCAAACAGAAATGTAATAAATTAAACATTTATCTGCCCTCACGCTAACATTTACAGTCAGTCATATTTAAATGCACTCAAACCAGATAGCATTTTTGATTTAGTTGAGAAATGCTTATGGTCACTAATGTGTGTTAGCCAGTGGACTAAAGGAAGGATGAGCAAATGTGAGGTATTCCATGAGCACACCCTCTCTGCACCTCACCAGAGACCCTGAGAGGAGGACCTGTATCTGTGGTGAGCTGCACTCGTGAAAATTACAAACCAGATATAATATAAAATGGACATCAATAAAAATGATACACAGCTAAAAGGGGGAGGCGCAGGCCACCTCACGCTTTGTACTTCTCTTTTCCTGTTTCGCTGATGACGCAGATATGCTGCAAGACAAAGCAGAAGAGACTGTTAGCATGCTAGTTCAGCAGGTGAAGTGAATTTACATTTCCTTATCAAATGGATGCTTACATTTAAATCTCTAAAGTACTCGTTGTAATCTAGTGCGTATCCCACCACAAATTTGTCCGGGACCTCAAATCCTACAACTAGAAAAAAGGAACGGGTTAGAGAAAGGCATCAGGTCAAATAATGACTTGGTCAGTGCTCCAGTTTGGTTTGCTACATGACTGAATGCAACCAGGTGTGTACGTACCATTTTCAACAAATTAGAAACTGTCTCTTAAAAAAAAAAACATTGGGTACCAGTTTATCTAATGAAAGGCTCTGTCCTAATGTTGCTGAGCACCAGTTTATCTGGTGTGTATGCTACCATAGTTAATATTTTAGCTCACATTTTGGCAGAAATCTTCCGTCTAAATGAAACACAGTATGACTGCTGTTGGGACGAAACATTGCATGTATTTTTTTTTTGGGACATAATTTGAAAATGCCAGCTGACCTTTTCATTGTACGAAAATTTTACGATGACTGGAGCAATGGAACCAGTCCAAAATTACTTGTAATAAAATGTTATTACATTAATTTACAGTAAAAGTTGCAAATGTTTTTTTTGTTCTCCTGTAAAGTTATTTTAGAGATCAAGTTTTGTTCAAACAGTGCAGATACATGTATTAGGGACTTTACATACACGCACAATAACTTAATGCATAAAATAACTGAATTTGCATACATCTGATTCTTCACATCTCTTAGTAGTGTTATATTTATGTGGTGCAGAAATTAGGCGCAATTTATAACACCAGCAATTTTAATTGGTCAACTCACAGTCTGGCCTGTAGCCAACACTCCTCGGTGTCCTCTTCACAAGCAAACTTTAAGAACAACAAAAATACGAAATTAATAGATTCCTTCAGTTAATGTAATGTAGTTTATAGAGACCTTTCAACAGCAACCATTGGCCTTCTCTTATTGTAACCATTTAATCACAAACATAGAAATCATAAGACTACATGTTTAAGTATTTAAGGCAGAATAGTAACCAGTTATTTATTTACAAACAGCAGGTCAAAAGGTCAAAAAATGGCAGATCAATCTCAGATATTCCCTACTGAATATTCTTCGAGTGTACTCGAACATACACTACGGTCCAAAAGTTTGGAATCAGACAGATATAATAATCATAGATATGACATACCAGATGTCTATGTTAGAAAGTTTACTCAGCAATTTTTTTGGGGATCAAGAAGTTTAATGCTTAATAAATGTACTGTATGTTTACTAACTCATTTATCATCTATTTATTTATCTACCTTACGTTATGCCTTTATTTATAGTTAATTGCCTTGAGATTTATTCATCACTTCAAATATGATGCATTCTGAATGTTTCTATTTTATGATTTATACAGCTTTGTCAATTTAGAACATCTACAGCTCTGTAAATCATGTGCCTTCAACAAAATGATTTCAAATTATTGAGACCAGTAAATCCAAACTTTTGAACAGCAGTCTATATAAAAAATAATACTAATAAATTAATAAAATGATCCTAAGAAGGCATAAGATGATCAAAGATGTAACCTCAAAGTAAATGCAGTTCACAACAGGCTTTTCATGTTCCCTTTATCTCTCCTTACCTGGCTACCTTGACCATTTTTGGATTGTACTGCTTGAGGAGTTCTAACAGTGTCTTCATTGTCTTTCCGGTATCAATGATGTCCTTAAAAACAAAATAAATGCTATTATGGACAGTAAATACATTTTGAAAATTTAAGACATCTTAAGCTAATTCAAGTATTTTGGGAAGAAAAAAATGCAAATCATACCTCCACAATCAAGACATTCTGCAATAAAACATGGAAAAGAAAATGGAAAAACCAACATGAGCACTTACACTGTTGACTACTTAACACACCTATAACCATGTTTCACCATCTCTTGATCGTAATTTGCTTTTGTGAACTTATTCTCTTTGATTGATGGATTATTAAAATGCACGCTGAAAATAAATACTGAACTGAATGCATTTACTTACCCAGTAAAGGTCAAATATTAAAAAAAATGTAGCACATTATTGACTGTCTTTTTTTTTCTTCAAGGTGGATACTTACCTTCCCTGTGAGTGTGGACAGATCATCTCCACCAATCACCTTAATCTCACCCGTAGACTGGTCATTCTATAATCCCAAAAGAGCAATTACGTTTGTGTGGGTGTTACTGAATTGACTGCATCCAAAACAGCTGAATCTCAATTAAAAAACAAAGTGAAAGAGCCAGTTCTTTTACTTGGTAGCTCTTGAGGCGTATGAAGTCCACAGTCATTGGAATGGAGCGGTCACTATTGCGGTTAAGGGCTTTGATGTAGTCTAGCAGGTCTGCGAAGAACTTGTAGCCTCCTTTGAGTACACAGAGGGCCACAATATGGTGGCCCCCCATATCCTTCATGATCTCCCTGGCCAGCCGCTCAGTCCTGCAGAGATCAGGTCAGAAAGGGGCTACTTAGATCTGCTTACTCTCCAAGTCAGCATGGTATCAGTTTCCACTGCTCTACAGACAACACATTTTACGTAAGCAAAGGTCATTTAATCTCATATCTGAAAACCCTCCTGCTGTTTACTCGAGCCCTCCATGGCTGAGATAAGAGGTTTGGCAAGGTTCAAGAGGAAGGAATCCAGGGTTAAAAGAAACTAGGGGTTTGCCTCATACCTGTCTAAGATGAGTCCATGTGGAATATAGACACGTTCCAGGTCAGCAGCATAGTGCTTTGGTATGCAGAAGAGGTCCAGGTCATAACCTTGCTCCTCATCACTGATCTGAAATGCACAATTTCTATCTAGTTAATAACAGTCTAGTTAATAACAGTAACAGTAGACTGATCGCAAATGGTGCACAGAAGGATTAACATGGATGTAATGTGGTAATAGCCACTTGTAGAGACATGAAAGACAGCAAAAAAGGGGCATTTGCAGACATTTGAAAGTGGCATTTTTCCCAATGGGCAGAGCGGTAGTTATAAATCCGTGATTACGCATGTCCTCATTTCCCTTGCCAAGTTAACTGTACCATGCCTGAGTACACGTGGGGAATTTGGTTACCCTTACTGCTGGGTTACCAAGCCTGCTGAAACGTATGGGTGGAGCTTGCACAGACCACTGGCAGAATTGCTGTATGTTACTTTACTCATGAAACCAAAACTTTAATAAAAAGGTAAATCAGAGCTTGAAGCGCATCCATCGTTGTTCCTGTTTGTGTTTACTGCTAGATTTGTGTGAAATTATTTGACAATATAAACTCAAAAGAAAAGCCTACTTTCACCGATCTGTTATGTGATGGGAAAGGGACACGGGTACTTGACCAGGGTATGGCTAGTTTTGGGTTCAGATAACTGTACCATCATGCTCGGCAGGAGAACACCACTAGTGTCACTCAGTCTTGTGGATTTTTCATCTAAGCTACACACTAGTCTCTTCTACAGTAGTCTGCTTATGCAGCACCATCCTACTAAAGAATAACTAGGAATAGGGTTGTAATTAATTATTCGATTAACCGTTAACTGACCATTAAATAACTGTTTAACCAATGCTTTTGGTTAAGAAAAATGTTAATTTTTATTGTATATCATTTCCAGTTAACAGCTCCTATTTGAATAGGTGGGTGTATCGTTTAAATTGAAGATTTTTAGATTCTTAAATGGCCAGCTGACAGGGCCAAAGTTTTATTACATACTTCTGTAACCTAAGAATACAACCAGTTTACAGTGAAGTCCCTGTAGTTACTGAATAATAAGGCCTAGTATGTAAGAAGGCTAGGATTTTAATGGGTTAAACTGTACACATAAGGCAACTGGTTCCACTAGATAGGCCTACTAAAAATGAACTGTGCCACTAAAAATAGTGGTGTTCAGAAGCATTATTCAAGAAGACAGTTATACAACTACAGTGATATCTTAAACATAAAATTTTACATGTTTAACAGAAAATGTGATGCATGACGATGTGAGGAAATCAGTCGGAGAAAGACATGGTGGGTGGTGACTGCTTTCAAGGGCTGCTCAGGTACACTGCACTAATGCTTCAATTTAGGCTACTAATGAGTGAAAAATATAACTTTAAAATATAGACCTTTCAGTGTCCCATAATTGTAAACTGCAGTCACGTTGTCAACTTTTTAGTTTTTGGTCACGTAATCATGAGCATATTATAGTCTCAGCCTCTTGGTTTAAACAAAACAACTTGTTCTTACGCAGGGCATATTTAATACAGTTTCAGAATGCTACGTCATGTAGACACTTATGCCTGGTTCAGTACTACATTCCTCAGTCCATACAATAAACACTAATATCTCAGTGCAGAATACAAACACTCACAATTTTGTATACATCACACTGATTGTGTACAAGTGGACAACATGGCTCTATCAGCTCTCAGTGTGACATTTTAGAGCTAAAAGCTGGCCAAAATCATCCCCGTCTTGATTGTGCTTGTCCTGTAGATGAAAACGGGGGCCAGCAGAGGCTGCATGCAGAGCTATGGTAACTGAACTTGACTTTCATAATGTCACAAATGAGCACATCAGACAATGATAGCCCAAACAACTCTGAGCCAAACTGGCAAGTACACTATTACTATACTGGTTAGATTCTTGGAAGTTTTTTTATTTGCTAAATTATTAATTTTTTTTCACAAGTATACATATTGTATTATTGGATACATTTTCAAAACTTAAGGTCACGCCACTTCACTCAGCCAACATTTGCTAGATATCTATGCAAGTTAACCTTGGCTCATCGAAATATTTGAACATGATGTTAGTTAATGCCAATCAAATAACAATCATGTTAATCAAAGTATGATGATTGAAAATTAGCTTGTCTAGTTAGCTAATGAAATGTGGTAACTATATACAGCCAGTATACTCACATATATATATATATATATATAGTCAATAATATGTCATGTATTTTACAATAGCTTGCAGCCAATCGGATTTCAGAGCCGGGACTACCAGTATTATAACTGATATTTTGAAAGGTCGCATCCTTGATTTTAGGCTTGCCAGTTAACACTTAATTGATGACTAATGAAAGTCGGTTGTCAGTTAAAAGACTGTGCCAAAATTAACATCCTTAACTGGGACTTATGTATGAAGGATATGAAGTAGAGCGACACATTTTAGAGCTTCAGTCCTATTACAGAAGTGTTTAAAAGCCAAATTATTGTTTGAATTATTCAGTGCTTTGAAGGAATACTCCGTTTTTTTTCTCTCCAAACTAGTCCCCATCTGCCGCATCCGCAGCACATGGTTGATTACCAGACAATTTTAGCATGTTTCCTTGTAGTTAGTACAAGAACCAAAAAACTGCTGACCCAAAAACATATGCTTACTGGCTTCTGTTATAAGCTGCTTGAGTCAGCGTTTTCTTCTTTTCCTGTTCTTTTAAAGCACAGGGAAATTACTGTCCATGGTAATCAAACCATATGCAACAGATGCAGCAGAGATTAGTCTGAAAAACACTGTATTCCTTATATTTGTAACAGGTATTGGAACAGATAGAAGAAATATCAATGTTCCTGAAGGTTTTTTTAAATGTCTTGTCTTGTCTTAGTTATCTATTTTTTCCCTTATTTTATGGAGAAACATCAATACCAGGAATGTAAAAGACTTCCAGAGCCTAACTATTATTTGAAAAGTTAAGTATCTGGTATCTGTTTAATTCCTTGTGTTGATGTTCATCTGAACCATACAAACGTGTGTAAGTATTTTGCTAGACACCATTGTGAATGACATGTTATGAAACATGTTAAATATAGGCTAGGCTCTCTCTCTTCTTGTGAGGTGTGGGGTTATATCCATTCATAGTCTGCTGATAGTTTTAATCATGTCTTATGGATTCCTCCTCTTCTAATATTTGACTTGGCTACAAGAAAAGCAGTGTTGAAATGAAAGAGACCAAAGGTAACAAATCAATCGCACAGCAGGAATGGCTGGTTGATGCACGTTCCCCCAGGGTGTTTTCACGCTGTCAAGAGATGTTTCAGCAAAATAAGACGTGCTTAGGAAGGCGCAAGACCTTGAGAGAGATTTCAGCCTTTCTGCTGTCCACTGCAGGTGCCACTGAGACAATCTAGAAAACTGGGGTTTGAAGAATGCTGTGTATTACAAACTCACTCTCCAAAGAACAAGCAAAATAAATCAGAGTGAATCTGCAGCAGCTTCAGGCCAGCACCGCAGCATTACAGCTACAGTTTTTCATTGTTTGCCGTAGGGGTTGGGGGAGGGGGTCCTCTTACCTTTTAGGCCTCTGGAGTTCCCATTACACACCTCACTTGATGCAGTATTTAACCTAGAATATAACTGACAACTTGGAGGGAGAAAAGAAGTTCTGCTTTAGCTCACATGGCTGTCACATGTTTCTACCCATAAGCTTTGTGGGAATTTTCATTTTTCCTGGTTTCATTATATTTTGCTTTTTGCCAACTGTAAGTTGCTACTGTGGTCCTAAGTCCTCAAATCTAAACAATGGCATTTATCTACAGAGAAGTCACAGTGTCACTGAGTGCAAAAATTGGGCAATGCTTGATGTCCTGATGTCATGTGTTGTCTACTGTCAATAGTTAAACAGCAGCAACCCTGATTAGATAAAACTAAGGGGGAAATATGCCAACAGCAAACACTGTTTGTGGATGGAAATCGCGGTCATTAAAAGCACATCATATCCAAAAAACACACACCACAACCCACTTCTTCTAATGTATCAACTTGTCAAAATCGTATTAAACTTATGAACACAACACTATCGAGCTCTCTAAATAATTTCGCCATAATAAGAACAAAATATGGCAGAAAAATAATTTTTCACTCCCTCAGACTCAAGATATTAAATCCAAAAAACACCACGTTCAAAGTTTGCTAAGAAAACGGATTTCAATTTGAAATCTATAAAATACCAGTACAGGACATTTGGTGACAATTAACTATACGTCTGCGTAAGAACTGGATGGATAACTGATGTGAATCTGCACTTATAAACATGCATTCACCAACTTACAGTCCACATTAAACCAGCCAGGTTAACTACAGCAGGAGTGGCTGTAGGTAATCTCTACTGAGAAGAGCAGACTAACGGCTTACACAGAACTCTAATAGATCATCTACAGGTTGGCAGAATGGAGTGGAGTGGCTCTATATACGCGTGTAAGAGAAGAAATGAGGGACCTAGTAATTCAGTGGCTGCTTTGGTTTTCATCACTGCAGCAGACAGGCCCGTTATGCAGGCTGGAAATACTACAGCAGCAGCGCGGCATGTGGCACGCGTTCAAACCCTCGTGCGTTTCCCCAGGCCCTCTCGCTGCTGCTGCTGCTACGTGCTAACTAGCTACGTCGCATACACAACACAACAGGCAGAAAACGTAAAGTTAGCGTCTGAACTGTTCTGCCAACCTTAGAAACCCCGTAGCGGTCCTATCTCTCCAGTCCCGTTTCAGACTTCCACATAGCTCAACCAAGCTCAAAGTGCAGCGCGAGTCCGTCGGGGAGCTCAGCTCAGTGTGGAGGCTCCGCGCTGCTTCACCTTGTGCTGTGAAAAACAATACATACCACGACGCAGGGGCTGGTGGTCGCCATGTCCGCACCGGTATCGCTTGTTTAAGAAAAACACGGCCTAGGATGGCCGACTGCTGTCCGCTCCTCTTTCCCCGGGGGCAGCTTTTTCACCTCAAGCCGATGGGTTGGACGCACTGCGCGGCTTCCGCACGTTGCTGTGGGCGTGTTTTATTGTTGCTGGAGAGCCTTGACAGACCAATCAGAGCCTTACAAACCACGAAACCCCGCCCATCTGAACTGACGCGCCTAGGTCAGAGAACGTACAGAGTGGGGCGACAGCGCCATAGAGTAGACGTGGTGGCCCGCTAAAAAACATATAGCTACAACTACCTGTAAATATACCCAGACTGGACACTTTATTAGGTACACTTATCATGTATCTACACTCATGCCCATTTTATCTAGGTATATAGGTGCACTGTATCTCTAATTTGTTAACCTTTCTTTACACCGTTCTTCAACACCACCACTGAGCAAATATTATATGGGTGGTGAATCATTCCAAGCACTGCAGCCACGCTGCTAAAAGAGGTTCACATACAGCAGCGTTTCTGGTGTTCCTTAACACTGTCCACTTTGGTGGTCCACCTGGCTCATCGGTTGCTGTACAGTTTGTGTTGGTCGTGCGGGCTGGTTATTTTTGGCTGGTGGACTATTCGCAGTCCAGCATTGACAATGAGATGTTTAAAAACTCCAGCAGCACTGCTGTGTCTGTCAATATATCCTGATACATCTGATTATAAAGCCACTTTTAAAAGGTTAATCAATACATAAGAAGCCAGTATGGGCTATTATGCACATCTATACATCTCTATGTATTGTGATCATTTCAAAGTTACACTAAACCATGCTGCATAAAACAAGTGTAAAAAAATACAATTTATACCATAACCTAGTAAAACCAAAGATGACTTGCTTGTGCTCATCAGTGATATGTCTTCACTCCGTTTTCAGTGTGACACACCAGCTTTTAAAGATTAAAAGAAATGCAGTGGATGAGGGAATGAATACCACATGAGAACAGGGTAAAGAAAAGTGCATGCTAGCCAATGATCTTTAATCCTGACTCAAGACTATAAAGGAAGCCACAGATATTCAACATTACTCATGAATATAATACAGTAGTAAAATATAATACATGATACAAGAGAAAATAAGAGGTAAAGAGAATGTCAATCCTTTGACAGAAAATTACAGCGATAGGCTTATTAAACTTCAGAATTTGGAAGAGACAGTAAAAACAATCAGAAGGCAGTCTCCAAAAATGGGTCCGGTGAAAGAGCAGTTTGTCAAGAAAGAAACTGGGAAGAAAGCATCCATTGGTCCAGTCATGTGAGCTTCAGATGTACAGCAGCTCACGTATAAACCCACACTGACTGAAGCAGGTTGTTTGACACTGATTGAGCCTTGTCTTGGACTGACATACACTGTTTATGAGGATCTTCCTTTCAAATGTTGTTGTGTAGGACTTGGCTTTCTGTGTTCTGAAAACCACCTCATTGAGTTCAGTGGGATTTTGGAAAAAACTGGACTCTCCAGTCTCATTTGTGATGTTCTTAAAGTATTCAGAAAAAGGCATAGAAATGTATGGCCAGTCATCAATGGTTATGGGACTTCTGGCGATGAGAGGGAAAATTAAAACTGTCGATGTTGTGAGCTGGCTCCTATGTTCTAGTTGAGCACAATACAAAAATAACTTGTCCTTTCCCCCTCGTCGTCGTTCATTATCTGCAAGAGACAAACATCAGTATTTTTAAAACAAAATTTCCTCAATGTTTTCCTATTTTGGTATAACAGCAGCTGTACTAACTGTGCAGAATTCAAACTAGCTTTCCACAGAGGACTTCTATCAATGTTGCAAAATTTCTGTATGTATTAATGGGTGAAAATGTAAACCAACAGTCATTCAGAGTGGTTTGATGTGAAATGGTTCATTGTAGAGAAACATCAGCTTAGACATCTTTGCTGTAGTGGTGATAGGAACCAGGGGTCGCAATGTCTACAAGGCAAATTGCATTTACTATCCAAAACCAGCGCCAGGGAACCAGAGTTTTTATATGTAATGCTCATAATGCTAAAACAGTGCTAAATTAAAAAAATTCTTTGGACACTATTTTGCCTTATAACACCCTGCATTACCTCTGTGAATTTAAGAAAATATGTATTAGGCCAAAATACATTTTAAAAAATATGTTTTAGGCCAAAACCATACCTCAGAACTGTTGTAAAATAACGCCTGACACCAAGCAGCTTATTTATAACCATTTTGTGCAATATCTTTGTGAAGGAGCTTTTAAAAGGCATTAAATGCTTAAGACCTTTGGTTATCATCACCACCACTGTGAGCAATTCCGGTTCAGGAAGCTTCTCTACAAATCGACCATTTCACTTTATATGACTTTTTTTTTTTAACATCTTAACCATTTAATTTTACAGAAAATCTGAGAAATATGTGGAATTTCTCCCTTTAAAATCTCCACGCACTGTGCAAATACTGTTTGCAAAATCATCTCTAGATGCTTACCTAGTTGCCATTGACTTGAGGCAGAGGAGGGGTTCCCCCCTGGTTGTTGGCAGCCTTCTCTCTACTGCGACTCTCCCGCTCCTCATCCTCTTCGTCCCGCTCCTCATTTCCACTGTGATTCTTACAGTACAGTCTGATATGTTAAAACAGTTCAGTAATCCAAGTTATCAATGTAGGTCAGCAGGTCAAAGTCAGAATTGGTCACAACAGATGAATACCTGACAACGGTTATGTGAATAGTCAAGGAAGGACTACATAAATATTGAAGGCTGGAGTTAAACATGAGTGAAGAAAGTAATTTTCTGTTGCAATTTTCATAAATTATCACAATCCATGTTAACAACGTACAGACAAACTAAAAGAAAAAACCAACATGAAGTGTTTTAGTAAGTTATTGGGCCAACATGAGCCACCAAAACAGCTTAGAATATATTCACCTTAGAATAGATTATGCAGGTCTGTGGAACTGTACTGGAAGGATGAAACACCATTCTTCCAAATGATTCACCATTCTTGCAGCACAAGCTGCTGCTAATTACAGCAGATGTGCAATAAAATGAAGTGAAATGCATTTTGCATATGTATCCCAGAACTTATTAGAAACTACAGCTGGAAAAAGTCATCTTTGCTATCATCCACCGTTTGTGTTTCCCAGTTGAGGACAGTAATGATGAACGACGGTAGACCGAATGGTGACAGTGGGTTGACATTGAGCAAGTATCAGATCCTGTGCTAATACCTCAGCTAAGCTAATTCATTTGTGAAGACATCACCCAAATTCACCAAAGTGAGGGGAAAACACAAGTCACAGCAGCTGTTCCGCACAGGATTCAAGCAGCTGCTAAGTGCCGAAACAAATAACTCCATACGGATGTTTATAGATTTTGATTTGCACCTCTACTTGGCTGTTGAGTCTCCTGGATTCCACAGTTTGCTGAGAGTGATAGAGCCATATTGGAAAATGCACATCTTCAGCCAGAAGGTAAGTGACACACTTTATATACAAACACAAAATCATACTGAAAATGTACTTGTAAAGTTTGTAAATTACTTGTGGCAATTATCCCTGCAACAAGCACTGTTGTACTTTTGAAAACTTTGGCAATTACCAAAAAAAAAATAAAGAAAGAAAGAAATAAATGATTGAGTTTTGTTTTTGTGAAAGCATTTCTTTCCTAATTCTGTATAAAATGTACTGTATCATCATGCAAAAATGGCAATATATTTGCGTTACATTTCTGTATTGGACAACATGCCTGTAGAGCAGTGCCTATGGTTTTTACATCACTCAACCCTCAAATGTGCATTCATCATTGCAATTAGGGGTTTATGCACTGCAACCATTACATGTTTTTCCTTACATATCACAACCCCTGCCCCAACAATTCTGACACAACTTAGTGCCAATGTGGATCAGCGAGTCTTACAACTACATACAGACAGTGTTGACTGTTTTCCCCTTACATATCACACTAACACATAAGCATGACCCTCACTGAAGAACCAACCTTTCCAACCCTGTTTAATTAATCCTTCCTATATCTAATTGGTTTAATTGTTACGTACTAGTGAAACTAATACCTTAGTAAGAATTCCAACTGGTATTTTACCAATACCACTGCTTTCACATGAAATACAGCCATTACAAATTTTGTCATGAGCATTATTACTGTTGCTTGTCAACCCACACCGCTGACGCATTAAGTTCCATCTACTGGTGTGCATGCATGTGTCAATGTGGATCAGTGAGTCTTTATTGAGGACATGTCACTCTTTACTAAAGGTCAACACTGTCTGTATGTAGTTGTAGACAGACTATTCTTGACAGTCTGATCACAATCTGCATTGACATTCTCAGTCACCTGAGAAACAAGCACTCTTGTTTTCCCCTTACATATCACACTAACACATGAGCATCACGCTCACTGAAGGATCAAACTTTCCAACCCTGTTTAATTAATCCTTCCTATATATCTACTATACCGTTTTACCATGATAGAAGACAAAAAAAGGAGGTAAAGATAATGCCAATCCTTTGACAGAAAACTACAGCAGAAGGCTTATTAAACTTTATAATTTGGAAGAGACTGATTAGAATGCAGTCTCCAAAAAAAGAGCAGTTTGTCAAGAAAATAACTGGAAAGAAAGCATCCATTGCTCCAGTCGCTCACATATTAACCTACACTGACAGGTTGTTGGGTCACTGAATCTTTAGTAAAGAGTGACATGTCCTCAATAAAGGTCAACAATGCAGGACTTACTTGTAAATGCCTCTGGCCATGTTCTCTATGTATTTGGCCTTGTCTTGAAGGCCGCAGTGGTAGTGGTAAGTTTTCACGCAGGCTTTTATCTCGCATCCAATGGTAGCTCCAAGCTGGCCACACAGGGTACATTTCTGAAACCCAGCACAATAATATTGTCATAGATTAAAAATTAAAAAAGCTCTTCAGACAACATGAACGTTATGTTTAGTTAAATCATCCACCAAGTACAGCTACACATAAAAGCTTCTTGCATGAATACAGATGCATTAACTGACTGAGCTGACTCACCACTATAACTTACTGACTGAATAAAATTCTAATGGTCACAGAGGCTTTGATTAAAGCTGAACTCACCATTCTTTTTCC